ATGTTCTGGGCTGGCGCTGTCTTCCTGTGTGAAGCGCCAGACCCATTCACACTATGAAACGATGATGATGATGTATGTTCAGGGCTGCATTACAACATTGATTGTTCGGATCACTGGTATCTAAGTCTTCCGCTGTGCTATCTTATACTTTGTATTGAAAGGTCGGTTCTTGTTCTGGTCTGCACCTATACGGTATGCAACAGTCACCCTTTGCCTCCGGTTTTTGAGCCAGTGGAAAATATGCAAGCAAAAGCATGATCTTGGAAATCTTGTTTATTGGAAAATTTGCAATCAGACTCACTTTCTTTTCCACTTCGCATGCATGCAAACAGATGGCAAACAAACTGGCGCCAAGGCGCCCATCCAAAGCTCAGAGATATGGAAACCGGGAACACAGTTCAGATGCAAACTCGCTTGAACAGGATATGGCGCATAAGTGCCTGTACATCCCAGCTCTCGTCACAGTGTCCAACACCACTGTTCGCACACACTTCAACTCTGGATCACCCTGAATACCCCATGCACCCACTCTGTAACACACACGCATACACACCTATCACTAGCTATGGCAGCTATGGCCGCCAACTACCACTAACTACAAGCAGCTGTGGCTGCGCTAACTCTCCTTCAGCCCACTTCGACTTCACGCCTCTGCAGACCACCTCGCACAAGACGCTAGGGCAGCGCTTCGGCATGGCTCACGCAGGAATGAATGAATGGATGGGCGCTGCCTCTTGATTTATACTTCTGTAGGACGTTGGTCTGCCCCTTTTCCACCGGGCCCATAGCGCACACACTCCCTCATGGTACTTGCTGACTGTGCAAAGTGAGCCTGGGACTGGGTACCGCTGACTAAGCGAAGTTGGAGTCCACCACTTGCCCACTTGCCTCTGGTCTACTGTGTAAAACGTGAGACATTCTCAAAAGGCCACTTCCGGACCTTCCAGAAGTCTGTGGACTTGGCCTTTCGAGTACTGTAGCAGCTACAACCGTGACCCTTCAGGACTGTAGCGGCTACGACCTTGACCTTTCAGAACATCTACAGCTACGACCTCTACAATGCTGTGACTCCTACTCGACAGACCTACAGTCACTACATAGACCTACAACAGGCAACAAACGACCACCAAAACACAGGTCACGGGTTCAAACATTCGGGGGTCGACTCGTACTGTACAGGGGCAAGGTGAGGTCTGGGGATCGAACTCTCGGGCCCGCATCTGTGACTGCAGAAAGCTGAAAACCGTTTCAAATTTATTTATTGTTGCCTTTTTGTTGTCAACAAAAGAATGTGTCATGAGATTGTTTGAATTATCTTACCATACGTTCCTGTTGAACATATGCCTGTCTTTGAGTCCTCCACAGATTAGTACCCCCCCTCCTCAATCGTTGATAAACATATGGCGGGCATGGAAGCCAGAGATTGTACGACTCCTGTAGAGCTTGCACCTTGGCAACAACATTCCAAGAGCAATGGACGTCCTTCACAACATCCATTAAAATTGGAATGACACAACTGTAATGTTCTGTCCAACACGGACTGAGACACACAGCTGATTTCTGAGTTTTGCTCCTGGAATGCATGCCTTACTGAGTTTCCTGCATGTTGCTGAGTTTTCTAAGTCTGTGTGGGTGCATGCTTGCTGGTCTGCATGCCTGTCTGAGTGCTTGTCGGCTTGAGTGTGTGTGTGACCCGCAAGGGCACTTGGTTGTTCGGAAGGTCCAAGGGCCGGTACTTACCTGTGGCCGGCACATTGAGGGTTGCAGTGGGGAAAACACTCAGGTGGCGGGGAAAGAGGCCCGCAACACTTAGAGCAGGTAGGCCGGTACCTCACCAAGTAGAGGTAGATGTGCCGGATACTCGATGCAGAGCAGAAGAAGACAAAAGTTGGCATTTTTAGAGGCCCAGTAGTTGTAGGCTAGGTTTAGGCGGGTACCAGTCCAACCAGTCTGAGTCTAGGGCCTGTACGGCTGTGTTGCACCCCCCGACGGTCGGCGGCCCTTGACTGGTCGGCACCTACTGGTCGGGGATCGTCGGCACCCCACAAAAGAAAAAAAGAAAAAAAAAGTTTTAAAAACAAAAAAAAAAATCTCTTTTTTTTTCGAGGTCCAGGACCCCTAATAACACCACCAACACCCCCATAGCGGCCCTCTTTACCCCCATACCCCCCCCCAACACCCCCAAACCGCCCCCAACACCCTCATTACCCCCCAATACTCCCTATATCACCCCTATACCCCCCTACACCCACCCTATACTCCAACCCCAACCCCCCC